GCTGCTGGGCCGCCCCCCACCTCCGTGCCCGGGGTGCCTTGCGCCGCCTTCGTCGGCCTTCCGCAGGTTTTGTTCAGGCTCCGCCCGTGGCGCCCCGTGGGCCCTTGCTGGGCTTCCGCCGGCTGGGCGACACTCGCTGCTGCCAGTGTCTCGCCCGTGCGCCTGGCTTCCAGGCCCTGGTTTCTGGCTGCTGCCGCTTCCGTGGCACTTTGCCTTCACTTGGCCTGCGTGCGTTGGCCCCGTTGGTCTGCGCTCGCGCCCGCCCCCCGGCCCCGCCGCCCCCCTTCCGGCGCTGCCCTTCCGTGTCTTTCCGCCCCCTACCGGCGTCCGCCTCGCAGGGTTGTCGCGGCTGCCTCCCCGCCCCGCGCCTCGTCGGCCCCCCTGGTTTCGGCGCTCTCGCCTTTGTTCTGCCGTGCCTCGTGGGCCCCCGCGTCTCCGCGCGCCAGCCCCCCAGCCCCCCCCCGTGCCGCGCGCGTTGGTCCCCCATCTGCCGCTCAGTCCGATGGGCCGCGTTTTCCCCGGCCTCGGCTCAGCGCAGCCCCGTGCAGTTCAGCGCCAGCGCTGGTTCCCCCCCCGGCGCTCCCCTGCCGCAGCCGGCGGCTCCGAGTGGGCCCGGCTTCCTTTCTTCCTGTCGCGTTGGGGCTTCTCTTTTCCTTCCGTGCATGGCGGCTTTAGTTTGCATGTGGCGTGTCCCCTGCCAATCTGCGGGAGCAGTTAATTACCGTCTTTCCAGCCGCCGACGCATCGAGCGCGTGTGCGTGCGTGTGTGCATGTGCGCCTCGCCCTCGGCCTGCTTGCTCAGACGTCGTTTCCCCCTTGGTCCGTTGGCTGGCCCAGGTTCCTACGCCGGATTGGTCCTGTGCCCCGAGTGGCTGCCGTTATATTGTTATTTCCCTCTGTGCCTCGCCTGCTGGGTGGGCGCGGCAGTAATGTTGCGGCACGTCTTTCGATTCCCTCCTAGGATAATGCCTCCTGCGCAGGTCGGTGAACGCCCGGCCCTCCCCAGCGTGACGTCTCCGCGCGTCGTTCGTTTGTTCGTTCGTTTTTCCCTGTCCCCCCTTTTTCCCAGTCCGTCCCCTCACAGCGGCCCCCCGCCCTGTTCAGACGATCGCAGACATGGATTAAGGGGGCGTGGATTAGCGACGGGTCCCATTTCCATTGGTAATCGCAGATTTCCGCCGCCGAACGAGGCGGCACGGGCCACGTTTCGGGGAGGGCACCTCCCCCGATCCATGGATTTGGCGACCGCGCGCCACATCCATGCAGCGCTAATCCATGCTTGCGCGCCCCCGACCTGTGAGTGTCGCTGCCGATCTCCCAGTGGGTGGAGCCATCGTTTCCCCGCTGCGTAAGCTGGGCCGGTGCGCGCGTTTTTTCGACCCGTTCTACGCAACGCCGCCGCGCGAGCGGCCGCGACGCCAAAAAGCGTGTGTGTGTGTGTGTGTGTGTGTTTTGGGTGTGCCCCTTCAGTGCGACACTGGTTACCGTTTGTTGGTTGGTCCAATGCCGCGGAGGAAGAAAACAGTGTGCGTGTGTGTTTGTTTTGATCAACCCTACACTGACTGCGCGTTATTGTGCTGTCGATTTCGTGTATGCTCGGTTATATCTGAAATTCAGTGGTGGAGTTCCATGACTTCGGCTTGTGCGCCTTCGGTTTACGCTCAACACACAATTCAACTAGCGGGTCCTGCTCGCTGTGGACGCGATCGTGCAAAAGAGCAAACATGCATGTATGTATGAATGTGTGTGTGTATGTGTGTATGGTATGTGTATGTGTGTGTGCTTGTGTGCATGTGTTTGAGTGGTATGCGCAAAGTGTTTCGAAAGTTTGTCGCACGCGTGGCCCAGTTGCCGCACACAGGGTTCACTGGCCCTACGTGCGGAATACTTTGGTCTCCAAATTGGTGTTATTGTTGTCTTCTCCAGATCTCAATGTGTGTAGTTGTCATGCAATATTCGGTGGCCAGGCGGGGTTGCATGTTATTGTTAAGCAGCGAGCTGGCTTCTTCAAACTAACACAGGACCCCCCCCTGCCCTGAAGTGCCCTGGTCCGCACTGCCTGGCGCTTCTCTGGGCCAGAATTTTTTCGGGCGTCCTCTTCCCTCTCGCTGCCTGGACTTGCCGTGGACCGGGCTGCCTGCGACCCTTTTTGTGTGCGCCTCCCGCTGCCAGGGACTTCCGCTGGCCGGGTAGGAGGAGGAGGAGGAGGAGGAGGAGGAGGAGGAGGAGGAGGAGGAGGAGGAGGAGGAGGAGGAGGAGGAGGAGGAGGAGCCCTTGTGTGTTCCCGAGCCCTTGTGTGTTCCCTTCCATCTGCCGCCCCACCTCTCGCTCGCCCGGCCTTGGTGCTCTCCGCCCCTGGCCCGGCCGCCCCCCCGGGGGCGCGGAGAGAGTCGCGCCCCGCGCTGCCGTCTGGGGCCCGGGCGGTGGTGCCCTCCCTTCTCCGGGGCGGCCCCGCGAGGGCGCGAAGACGCGCCGAGCGCCGCGCATCGCGGCGCGACGCGCGAAGTGGGGTGCCCCGGAGCCTGCTCCGCTGGGCCCTCCCCCACGACCGTCCCCAGCAGGCCACCCCTCGGCGGCGAGCCCACGGGGGGGAAGCGAGAAGGGGCGGGCCTTCCCAGAGGGCTCGGACCCCCCCTTGCCTTCTGAGAGGTTGTCCGAACCTCCCCCGGAGATGCAAATAGCTTCCCAGGAGGCATGAGGGTTCCTGAAAAGTCCGGCGGCCTTATGGGAAGGCCTTCTCCCCCATTGCCGCCGAGCCTCCCCTCGCTCTCGACCCCCTTTTCTCCCCGGGCGACCATGGCTGCCGAGGGCCTCTGCAGCGTGCAGCGTCCCGCGTGTTCGGCCCTGCCCGCGCAGGGCCGAAGACGGCCGTGGTGCTCGCACGCCGTCGCGGCCGTCAGGGCTCCAGGGTCTCACATACGGGGTCCGAGCAGTGTCGGCGGCGAGCGAGGGGGGGAAGCGAGAAGGAGAAGGCCTTTTCAGAAGGCTCGGAAGTCACCCGGCCTTGATGAAGTTTCTGGAGCCTTCCCCGAAGACACAGAACATTCTCAGAAGGCGCGAGGCCTTCCGAGGAGCCCCGCCGCCTTCTGAGAAGGCCTGGTCCTTATTACTTCCCCCCTCGCTCGCCGCCGAAGATGGGGTCGGAGGATCACGCCGCACCTCCGATGCATTGGTGATGCGGCTCGATTTGGAGCCAGGTCTTCTACACGCCGACGCATCGGCGATGCAGCCCGATTCTCCGACCCCGTCTGCTCGGACCCCAAGGGAAGTTCCTTGCCTATCATGGCATCTCCTGCCTCACTGCTTGGAATCCACGCCTGCGGTCAGCCGACGCGGGTCAGCGCGTCCAGCGTCGCGTATGCGTGCGCGAAAGCGTGCGCCGAGGAGCCTGACAAAAAGCCTGGACCCCTCAGAGCAAGCGTCAGGCATGCGTGTGGCCGTGACTTTCTGCCGCCCCCTGTGTGCGCCAGGGGAGCGCGCCCGTCCTCAGCATGATGGCTATGTTCTTGCTTGCCCCCGCACCTTCACGCGCCTCCCGCTCGCACCGGGAACAGCAGTCCTTCCTTCGCGCCGGGAGTGAATGTACCTCTTGCGTTGCCATTCCGTGGTCCTTTGCCAGAGCCTTCATGTCCCCAAGAGCTACAGCCTGTTTGGCCTGTTTGGCCTCGATCTTTGAGTCTCGATCCCGAATCTCGATCTCTGATCGACCCGCTTCTTGCAGTAGAATGCACGGAATTTAGGGACTTGCGCACTTGTATTTCAGTATCGTTGATGCATCTTGGGTATATTTTGGTCCTCTTCCTCCTCACCCTCCTCCTTCTGCGCATGGGCAGCAGGGGGACTATAGGGGTGATGCTGATGATGATGATGCTGATGCTGCTAATGATGGTGAGGAGGAGGAGGAGGAGGAGGAGGAGGAGGAGGAGGAGGAGGAGGAGGATAAGGGCGAGGAGAAGGAGGAGGCGGAGCTCAGGCCCGGGCGGAGCTCCAGGCGCCGGGGGGCCGCGCGCGACTGGCGCCGGCCTCGAACGATCGATCCGAACGATCGAACCTCGAACGATCGAACCTCGAACGATCGAACCCACGAGCTGATTACTAGCCCCCATACTCTGGGTTTCTTAACAGGCGTAGGGGGGCGTACCCCCCGACGGGTTCAGCCCCGCCTCGTCGTCGCGCCGCGACGGGGGGCGGAGCGCTTTCGGCGCGCGGTGGCTGCCCGCGACGGGGGTCGATGTGGGGCTGTCGGCGGGGGTGACGCCCCCCCCCCCGACGCTGATTGGGAAGCTCGGAGTACCTGCGTGGCCCCTATCCGAGGGTGCTATGGGTGTGCGTTGTCGGATGGGGGTCCCCGCTCGAGCGGGAGCCCGCCTCGGCGTCCGACAACCCATGGTGCCTTCGTCTCCGTGCCCTCCCCCATGACTCCTCTCTATGGGGAGGCTGGGAACACTTTTGGGGACCAGGGCCAGTTGTGATGCATGCTCTGGGCTTCCGGCAAGATTCAGTTCGTCGGGCCGCGCCAAGCTGGAAAACAGGTAGTGCGCGTTCTTTTTGGCTACCACACGGTCTTTGTTTTTTTTTGGTTTGCGGTCGGGGTATGGGCTCCCTGTGTGCTCTTTCTTTGCAGGTCCACGCCAGCGCGGAATTCACCACTCTAATCATTCTGTCCGCAGGGATTCCAGCTCTGATGGAAGCCTCTCCAGCCCCCCCGCACAGTCAGGGCGCAAAGTAAGGATGACCGTCTTTCCAGTGTCACCCTTGCATCCTTCCCCTTCGGGTCGGCCCTGGCCACTTTCGCTGGCCGCGCTCCTCGACAGGTGTCGACATTGCCTTCCAAGGCCCTTTGCTCGTCCTCAGCGTGCATCCTTACTGTGCGCCTCCCGGCACAGTTTCGAGCGCGTGCTGAATTCGCTCCTCGCGAAGACGTCAAGCGCGGGCCCCGAGCGATCGACCGATCGACGCGGTGGCCCCGCCGCGACCCCGCGGCCCGCGGGGCTCCCGAGGAGCACGCCCTGACGCAGGTGCTGCAGGAGCGATGGGGGTGGGGGGACGCAGCTGTCCAGCAGTGGCCAGGCGTCCTGGCTCGCCTGCTGTCCAGGCCTGCCTCGTGGGCTCCGACCAGAGGGTGTCGGAGGATCGCGCCGCATCGCCGATGCATCGTCGATGCATCGCCGATGCGGCCCGACGTGGAGCCAGGCCTTTCCACGCCTACGTGGCCGATGCATCACCGGCGTCGCCGGTGCGTCGCCGATGTATCGGTAATACATCGGCGTTGCGGCGCGATTGTCTGACCCCAGCTACTCCGACCCCATCTGGGAGGCCTTCATACGAGTCTGCCAACGAAAGGTCTAAGAATCCTTAGTGGTTTGCACACATTGTTCTTAGAACATGTCAGGCTGAGACCGTCTTGGTGTAATCCAGCGGCTGTATCTTCGATGAAAATTCCCCACACCGTGCTTGCACTTCGGGTTTACTTTTTTAGCACCGTCGCCGCCAGTCGTCTGGGTCTGACTGTCGGTCTGGCGGCTGTGTTGTTGCCGTCGCCGCCCCGTCGCCGCCGTGGTCGCTCGCCGCCGCCGTTGGATTGCACCACATAGATCGCTCGCTCGTCGCCGCCGTAAGATTGCAACACAACTATTGCTTCGCATTGCTTAGCATTGCTTTCTATTGCTTTGCGCAGCATAGGTCGTACCACATAGGTTGCGCCGCACAGGCTGCACCGCATAGGTTGCACTGCCTATATTGCGAAGGCCTTACGGCCGTTGCCGCCGACCCTGAAGATGACGAAAGACAACACGATGGGGGGGGGCAGGAGGAGGAGGAGGAGGAGGAGGAGAAGGCGGAAGGGAGTAGGAGGAGGAAGGGTGAAGGGGGAGGAGGAGGAGGCCTTATGGATGTTGGTTGGGATCTCGTGGTTGACCTCTCGGGGGCGTCTGGAAGGCAACTTGAAGCCTCTTGGGGGCCGTTGTGGGGCCTCTTGGGGCATCTTTTGGGCCTCTTGGGGCTTCCGGAGGCCGTCTTCGGCGCATCTTGGGGGCGTCTTGGCGCCGCTCGGGGGCCTCTTGGGGCCTTTTGGGGGCCTCTTGGGGCTTCCCGGGGGCCTCTTAGGGCGGAAGTCTCGAATTCTCGGTTCCTCGTCCCCCTCTTGGCCGTTTCTTGGGCCCGTCTTGGGGCCCTATTGGGCCGTCTTGGGCGCCTCTTTAGGCTGTCCTGGGGCCTTCTTGGGCCGTCTTGGGGCCCTCTTGTAGGCCTCTTGGGGCGCTCTTGGGGGCCTCTTGGGGGCCTCTTGGGCCGTCTTGGAGTGTCGGAAAGCCGAAAAGGCGAGAAGGCCAAAATCATTCAAAAACCGATGTAAAATTGACGATTTTGGCGCCTGGGGCCCTCTTGGGTGTGCTCTTGGGGCTCTCTTGGAGCGTCTTGAGGGCCTCTTGGGCCGTCTTCGGGCCGTCTTGGGCGTCTTGGGGCCATCGTTCGTCGAGTCGAGGCCCTCTTGTACCCTTTTGGGGGTGTCTTCTGTCGCTCTTGGCTCGTCTTGAAGCTTTTCTGAGCTCCGGGACCCCCCGGGGAGGATGCGTATCTGGGTGGCGACCCCCCCGGCGACCCCCCCCCCCCCGGCGCACTGCCTATATTTGTATATAGACATGGCGATATAAACACATTTCATTAACGTATAGTTAGATTCGCTATTGCACCGAATCAGTAAGGGTTGTCTGCGCTGGCGGAAGAAGCTAACCACACGGCACCGTTGTAGCGAGTTGGCCATCGTGAAAGAAGACGGGGGAAGAACAAAAACGTGTGGCCGCGGGGAGGGGAAAGGCGAGGGCCGCCCAGGGGGGCGGGTCATTCCCAGAGCGGCTGGCGCGGCCAGCCCCGCCGGCGGGGACACAGGCGGCTGCTGCGCCGGGGTTCCAGCGGCGGCGGGGCCCAGTACCGTTACCAGAACGAGTACAGCAAGCAGTGTCACGAAACCGCCGACGAGCGCGAAGCGCGGGGCGGAGGGCCGCGCGTCGTCGCCCAGGTGGGTGCGCGGCAGGTGCGGTAGGTTGCGGAGCACCATTGGGGAGAGCGTGTCCAGCAAAATGCCGCCGGACCAGCGTGCTGTGGCGGGCGGCAGGACCGGCCCAGGTCCCCAGCGTGGCGGTTGCAGGCAGCAACCCAGCGCCATCGCGGCGCGCGGAGGGAGGGAAAGCGGCGCGGGGAAGGGAAGAAGCGACCGGGGAGGAGGGCGCCCCGCCTGCAGGGGACACGCAGGCGGGGCGGCGACGCCAGGCCCCACTGGCGGCGGCACGCTGCGCCGCGCGCTGCGCGGTGGGACGGATGGGCAGCGCAGTGCCGATCAGCAAGCGGGCTCGCGAGAGGCCCCCGCTGCCTGGGAGGACGGTGGGCCAATCCGCGAGCCAGGGCGGCAGGTGGCAGCTAGGGGACGAAACCGGCGTCTAATGTAGCTAACACTGGCGAGGCCAGCGGCCCCCTGCGTGGGGGTGGGCAGGGAGCGCCAAGGGGGAACACCTAACCGATGCAGAGGAGTCAGCCCCCCTGCCCGGGTGGACAGGCTGGGCCTCGGGGGGGCCAGGGCAGTCATTCGCCGTCTCGGGAGACCGCCTGGGGCACGCCGTGACCAGTCAAAACTGCGGCCGGAGCCGGTGGCCCTCAGCCCCTCTGCACGACAGCGGGCAAGAGCATGACATGGAGGGAACACGTCGCCGGGATTGGCAACGCGCCGCGCCAGGGCGACCAGCTGACGGGGGCGGGGTGGGGGGGGGCACGGGGAAACCGCGCCATGTCGAGCTGGGCGCGCGGCAAAGTGAACCGCCATTGGCTCAGGGGTGGATGGAGTCGGCCAGAGTTGAATTTTCAGGGTCGGGTCGATAAGCGGGTGTGCTCGCTCAAGCGGCAGTCCAGGGTGTGCCTCAGGGTTATGTGGGGCGGACGGAAGTTGGGTAGGCGCTGCTTGGACTGGTCGTTGTTGGGCCAGGCAGGGTCGGCGCGTCGCCTGCCTTTTCCCGTGGGGTCCTGGCCCTTTCGTTTGTTTTTGTTTTTGTCCCATTGCAGCTGCTCAATGCGCCGCGCCTGCTCCTCCCGGGCGGCGCTCCAATCGATGCACAGGCCCCGTTTCCTGCAGACCTGGCGGATGTCAGAGTTTTCCTCCCGCAGCTGGAGCATTATCTCCTCGCAGAATTGATCCTTTCCGAGGGGGTTGTATGTGGCTCCCCCTGGCCGCCCGTCCCGCGCATCGCAAAGCGTTCTCCAGCGCATGACGAACATGGGTTCGCTTCCGTTTCCAGCCTATTAACGAGTTCCGGCCAGGTTTTTGGCCGACGGGCGCGGTGGTCCCAGTCGCGGTGCGGCGGGTGTCTCGGCGGGGCTTGTTGTAAATAGTGTCATTGGGGTCTTGGTGGGGCGCGTGCCGGATGTCCCTATGTGGGGCCCTGTGCCATGGGGGCGGTGGTAGGTGGGCGCGGGCATGGGGGCTCGTTGGACGAGGCGGCTCCCCCAGTCGCGGAGTGCGTTGCGTCAGCGGCCTGCTGATACGAGTGCTCCTGCTCCGCCATAGTGCAAGTCTTGCGTGCGCGCTCCCCGCCAGGTCAAGATCTTCCGTTCCGCCCCTTTCCGCCACCAGGTCAGAGCGGGTACCGGGGGCGCGCTAGTTGATGTCGTTGCCCCCGCCGGCTGTGGGATCGCTAGTGGTGTGGATCGCTCGAGCGAAAGGGCAGGTGGGTGGTCGTGGTCGCACGCGGGGACGCCATGCGCTGCCAGGGTGGTCGGGTCGGCGGGGGGCTCGTCACTAGGGGTGGCTGGAGGTTCGGGTCCCGATCCGAAATCTACGTCACGTGGCTCGCTGCAAATCTAGAAAAATTGCCCTGTGGCTTCGCAGCGCCAGTTTTCGAAACAAATTCTGCGATTGCGTTCTCGCGAATTTTCAGAAAACCATATGTTTTCAACATGTTCACCATCTTCAGCCGAACGGGCCTTTCGCGCGCGCGTGTCGAAATCATTTGAACACCCTTGCGCGTGTGCTGAGGGGGCGGGGCACGATTCCTGTCAATCGATGCATGCGGGCCACTCGCCCGCGCCGGCCGCGCGTTCATCTCTAAATTTTTCTCATATGTTTCATTACCGACGCGAGAATACCATCATCGTGATCGGCGTGATCTGCATCGGCGCCGTCAGTGGCCGTGCCGTCATCATCGTCATCATCGTCAGCATCCCAGCTGGTATCATCATGGTGTTTACCCTAGTCGACGTCGCCATGATTCCGCGCCCGCCCAAATCATATACTCGCAGTGGAGTGCCCGCGCGTCGCTGCGGCCTGCGAAACGTGTTGGGAAGTGTCCGGCGGTCAGCGCCACCGCGGTCGCGTCGGTCGCGCCAAACTAATTGCCCGCTGTGCGCGCGAACATCCGCGTGTTAGCGTGGCCGCATCGATGCATCAGCCAGTGCCAAGCAACCGTCGCAATTGCAACCGCACGGGTTTTGCAAACCAAATTGCGGGTGGGTGGGTGGGGTGATTGCGCGAGCACGGAAGGTGATTACGCGCGAGAAATTCAAATTCAATTGCACCACGCAGATTGAGCCAAGTAAATTGCAGCACGCAGATTGCGCAACATAGCTCGCACGCGTGAGGAATTCCAAACGTACATATATATATATATATATATATGGACCGACGTGTACTGTATTATTTTTTATTGTATCACGTAGACTGCACAACGTATACCGCACCACATAGCTTGCTTTACACACGCACAAGCACCCACCAATTTATCGGACCACGTGTACCGTGACAAACTGTCCATTTTGTTTGGGGTTCCACGCTGGCTAACATTTTTTTTTGTATTGAAGCATTTTTTGGTTCCAAGGTCTTATATGGGTAGGCCCGTTGGAATGCCGGGACGGTCGGTCCTTGCTTGACCTGCTGCGTCTCCCATGTCGGGGGGGAGGTCCGATGCGTTTTTGAGCATATTCACCGGATCTCGGTGATTGTCCAACCTCGGGATGCTCTCCTGTATTGATTCCCCCCGCATCGGGA